GAATTTTTACTATTAAACTTAGTAAAATAACTCTGCAGTTTCAGTTTTACTAAGAAAACTTAGTAATAACCGCCATCGCAGTTTCGGTTTACTAAGAAAACTTAGTAATAACCGTCATCACAGCTTCAGTTTTACTAAGAAAACTTAGTAATAACCACTATTACAACTTCAGTTTTACTAAGAAAATTTAGTAATAACTGCCATCGTGGCTTTGGTTTTACTAAGAAAACTTAGTAATAACCGATATATCGGCTTCGTAACAATTTTATTAATAAAAAAACGTTTCTGAAGCTACAAACGTGTTTTTTACTAAGTTTCTTAGTAAAAAATGTCTCTGAAGCTACAAAAGCATTTTTTACTATATTTTCTTAGTAAAATAGCGTCTCCGAAGCTACAGAGGCATTTTTTACTATATTTTCTTAATAAAATGGCATCTCAAAAGCTGTAGAGGCGTTTTTACTATGTTTTCTTAGTAAAATAATATCTCTGAAGTTGTGGATGCATTTTTACTATGTTTTCTTAGTAAAATAACTTCTCTGAAGCTGCGGAGGTATTTTTTACTATGTTTTCTTAGTAAAATAATGGATCTGAAGCTGCAAAGGCATTTTTTACTTTTTTTTTTTTTTTAGTAAAAAGGCATTTCTGAAGCTGTGGAAGCGCTTTTTACTATGGTTTTCTTAGTAAAAAGGCATTTTCGAAGCTTCAAAGGCGCCTTTACTATAGTTTTCTTAGTAAAAAGGTATTTTAGAAGCCGCAGAGGCACTTTTTGCTATAATTTTCTTAGTAAAAAGGCATTCTGAAGCTGCAGATGCGCTTTTTACTATGGTTTTCTTAGTAAGAGCCACTCCTAAAGCTTTGGAGATGAGATGGCTTTACTATTGATTCAAATCAAATCAAATATTTGAATACTTGATTTGAATTTAATTGAATAGAATCAAACATTAATTTGGATTTGATCAAATAAATCATTCTTTGATTTGAATTTGATCGAATCAAATCAAATATAAATTTGAATTTGTATTCGATTTGATTTTCAAATCAAATATTCAAATATCAAATCAAATTGTGAAATCCTAGTCTCACATAAAGAAAAAAGTTTAGGTATCACTATCTATCAGAAACACAAATCTTCTTTATCTCACAATAGACTTGTTACTACTAACTTTTATAATATCGATCCTTTAATCTATTCAATTGATGATAAATATTCTAATTGATATACTTTAATTAATAAATATATTTTTAGTAGCCACAATATTCTTTGTGAGTAGTAACTACTTATTTTTTGGCAATGATGAAATTTTGCTAAAATCTTGTATTTCATTCAAATGGAATTGTCAAACAATGTCCAGTTGAACTTAGTTTAATTTTTTATTTTTCAGAGTTAGTATCATTTACTTTGCATAGACTTCTTGTATATAATTATTTACTTTACTTGTTTTGTTAATAAAGTTTAAGATGCACTACCACATTGAATTCAAAAATACAAAATGCAAAATGCTATGTTAATCTAAAAAACTCCTTCCTCATTAGATTCAATCCAAAAATTTTTACATAAAAAATCTTACGTGATGACACTCCCTTTTCTTCCTAAACGGCAACTCTCTTTATGATTGGCTGATAACCTCTCATCAGATTTCTGATGTACAAAAATCACAGAATATCACATGATATTTTCTGGACTTATACAACTGGATAGTGGACCTTATTCTTTGCCAAGGGTAAGTTCTTAGCTTTGTAAGTATATGTCTCTATTGGAACTTAGTGATTTGGACACTCCTGTGATGGGTGATCGCTGTAATCTGAACATTTTAGCTAGGAACTAAATAGAGTTATTTATTTTTATTACTTTCTATATGTACCTACTTTCCTTCTTTATTATAGTTTTGGCGAGCAGTTGTTATCTTTATAGTTGGGATTGAAGGACACATAGAATACTCGTTGCTGTAGTTACTGCTCATTTTCTGATGGTGTGAAATTTAGTTAAAATTTTTTGGATTGCATTATCTTGTAAGCAGATTTCGCATCAATGTCCCTTTTTTTGGCTTGATGGAGTCGTCAGACGGTGCCCGGTAGAACTTAGTTTAATCCTGGTTATTACTCAGAGTTAGTATCTTTTACTTCTTGTATGTAATTATATTATTTACTTGTTTGTAATAAAGTTTAAGATGCATTACCGCATCGAATTTAAAAATGCAAAAAAAAAAAAAGCTATGCTGATCTAGGGCGCTTTAGGAAATGACTTGGCTTTACCATTATTTTAGATTTATTACTTTTTAGGTATGCCAGTTTTTTTGAAGGACTATTATTAACTTACGATTTAAGCAAGGCATTTTTTGTTTCAAAAAATTATTCGCATCAATTTTCTTATTAATAAAAATTAAACAAATAAAAGTACTATTCTATTTTAAAAAACAAGTATATATTTATTTATCAAACAATATATTGAAAACTATACTATATATTTAATAATTTACAGAAGAAAAACATAATATAAATAAATAAATTAAATATAATATAATGTTATAAAAAAAAAAGAATTCATTCCTCTCTAATAAGATATATGTTAACGCCGCTTAGGAAGAGATTCTGTTGAAGCGTTATAGATCGAACTACTATATGATTTGCGTGGTCTATCATGTTTTGATATTTCACTAACAAAATGTAAAAATATGTAAATTAGCAATCTTAAAGTACGAAAAGAAAATAGTATTTACCTACAAAAACATTTTTTAAATCAAAGCTTACCTTGCATTATCGCTCGTAACTCGATTAGCAGCGACAGCTGATTCTTTACATTTATTGCTACAATATTTACGATAGCCTTTTATAGCTTTCTTTTTACAAGGTTGTTGATTACAAAATTCACAAAGAGGCGCTTCTTTGCTTGTAAAACTTTCATTATCTTTTTTATCTTTTTCTCTACTTATCATTCCGCTTATTTTCTTAGCAGAATTACCAGTTATTGACATAGATTTTGATAAAATTAAACTACGTCTATTCTTTATAGTTGATGCACCTGAAACCGAATCATCTGATTTACTTCGTTTTTCATTGACTTTTTTAGGAACAGAAGGAACAGAAGGCAATGGTTTTGAGGAGGTGTCGTAACTTGACGATCGTTTGTTAATATCTACTAACTTTGGTATAAATGATGGTGACGGTGGTGAATTATACAAAGAACTTCTTCTACTAGCTGTATTATCATTATATGTAGATTCTCCACTTAATGAATTATGACGCGAATCAACAACCTGAGTTGGCTCTTCACTAATATGCTGATCTTTGTTATTCATGCCTTTATTAGAAGTAATCAGATAAGGTATTGCTTTAGTGGGTGCAGGAGAAATAATTCTCGGAAGATAAACTCCTGAATCTTCATTTGATTCTTCATTGGAAGAATATATTGACGATATTCTCTTTGATGTTTTGTTAATCACGGGAAGTTGAGCTCTTACATGATGACTAGGAGATGAAGGAGTTGAAGATGGTGACGGAGAAGAAGGAGAAGAAGGAGAAGAGGAAGATCTACTTATTCTTCCGTTGTTATTAATTGATATAATTGTTTCTTCGGGAAAAGTTGAATGTCTCTGTTGTGAAGAAATTGAACGTTTCAATGATGGTGAAATATGCGATATTTGTTGAGATTGTGATACTCCTTTACGAACAGTTTGATGTGGTGGTTGTGGACGATGTTGATCTACTTTAACTAATTTTGCCTGTGCTATGCTTGCAGATTCCTGCCTAATTTGTATGGAATCTTGGGATCCACGATTACTTACTTGATCAGATTGATGTTGCCCGGATGCTTGATTTTGGATAACACTTGAAGCTCGTCTAACGGATTTCCTTTGTGGAGGTGGAGGGGATTGCGACACGCTTGAACGTGCAGACTCCTTAACACTAATATTATTGTTAGTCTTATTCTTTAATTGTCGCTTAACCGTACTCAATTCCACTTGTAATTTCTCGGCTTCAATACGTTCTTTTTTCATTATCTCGTTTTCATCCAATAACAAATTATATTGATCTTTAAGATTGTTTAATTGATTTTTTAGGTCTTCACGCACACCAAGTCCACGTTCACTTTCTTCACTGACTTTCGTCATCGATAAACTAATACGAGCGTTTTGAGCTTTTAATTCTTCCCGTTGTTCTTTAACGGCACTTAAATCTTGTGTTAATAATTTGATCTTATTTATCATTTCTCTTCGCTCCTTCTTTAGGTCATCATCTTGTTCTTGTTTAACTTTTTGTAACAAATCCAAAATTTCTTCATTTTCATTCACAAGCGTGTTGATTCTCACTTTTAATTTTCCTGATTCACTTTGTATCTTTGAGTTTTCTAAAATTAACTCATCTCTTTGTTGCCTAATTATTCTATATTCTTTTTCTACATCGCTCAATTTGCTTAATGATGATGCTTGTAGGTTTTCTAGTTGTGATTTTAATAAATCATTTTCTATTTCTGTCACATTTTTACTTCTAATTATATTTTCTTTTTCTTGTTGTAGTGTATCTAATTGAGTAATATATTGTTCATTTTGTTGTTTAAATTCATTTGAAGTCGTTTGTGACTTTTCTAATTCTATCGTAAAATCGTGATTTTGTTCTATTATTTCTGTATATTGTGATTTTAATATTGTATACTTTTCTCGTATATTTTGTAAAGAATTAAGGTCATTTTTTGTGGAATTTAATTCTTGTTGAGTAGAAACGAATACCTCCTGTATAGAATTTAATTCTTGTTTAACGGAAACAAGTTCACTTCGTGATAAATCCAATTCTTTTCGTATAAAATCCAATTCTTGCCGCGTGGTAGCTAATCCTTGCTGGGAAGATTCTAAATCTTGACATTTAGTATCAAATTCTTGTCTTGAAGTTTCCAATTCTTGTCGTGAATTATCTAATTCTTTGCGTGTAAAATTATACTCTTGTTCTAAAGATTTAAACAATTCCTGTGATAATTTCAATTCCTTTCGTGACTCTTCTAAATCTTGTCGTGAAGAATCTAGATCAACTTGTAATTGATGAATCTTTGATTCTAATGAACTCCTTTCCGAAGACACATCCAAAGACAATTTATCATGACGAGAAATTACATCATTTAGTTCTTCTTGCAACTTCTCTATATTTTCTTCAAGTATATTCTTTTCTAAATTATATTTGCCATTTAATTCATCCAAAGCATTTGATATGGTTTTCAATTTTTCCCGCAAGTTATCCCTATCATTTGTTATACTTTGTAATTCTACTTGTAATACATCATGATTCTTAGTTACTCTCGTTAATTCCTCTTGCAACTCGTTTCTATTCTTAATCACACTCTTTAATTCCTCATCCTTGCTCATTGTTTCTGCTCGTAAATTCTCAAACCTTTTTAATAATGTATTGTTTTCGTCGGAGATTTTATCAAAATTACATTTCAATTCATCCCTATCCTCCCTTATAGTATTTAATTCCACATGCATTTGTTTCAATTGTATTTCTTTTTCAAGCATTCCCTCCCGTGTATTTTGTGAAATTTCTCGACTTTGAATTATTTTTCGATCGTGATTTTTAGTATTAGCAATGCCACTATTTACGCTATTCCTATCCCATTCGCTTTCATTATTATCGCCGTCATCAATTTCTTCGCCACTACTTGCGATAAATTCACTCAATAAACTTTGTTCGCTTGTAGTACTAATGTCAAATTGTCCATGAGATTGAATTCGTCGTTGTGAACCATCTTTATCATTTTCATTAAACCAACTTTCCCGTAAATCAATTATTTCCTGTGAATTTCTTTGTGATGAATTTTCCAATAAATGATAACTGCTATTAATATTTAAATTTTCTTTTAATAAGTTGTCCCTTGTTTTAATAAAATAATTTAATTCATCTTGTAATCTACCCATATCAGCTGCCAAATTATCATTCTGATGACGTAAACGTAAATCTTCATCTTGCAAATCATTCCTTTCTTTTTCAATATTGGATAACTTTTGTCTTAAATCCTCAAATTGTTGATGATTGTCTACGAGTCTCATTTGCATTTCTTGATTTTGATTCTGTTTCTGAGAATTGTTCAATTGAAATTGTAAATTGGAAATCATTTCTTGTAATTCAGATGAACGCAATTCTAACGTATGACATTTACCGCGCAATTCAACATTTTCTTTTTCGGTACTAGTAAGTAACAATTGTAATTGTTTTCGATCTTTTAAATTATTTTTCAAAACTTGATTTTCCTTTAAAAGAGAATCGATTTGAGTAGATTGCTTTGATAATTTTGATATGAGCTGTTGTAATTGACTTTCCAAAGAAAAGTTTAAATGTTTTAAATTATCCCTTTCCCAAATCACCGAACGCAAGTTGTCTGATTGATACGATATATGATCCTCCAAATCTTTGATCTTTTTGGTCGTAATTAATGATAAGGATTGACCTTCGGTTATCGATGCAAGTGGGGAAGAATGGGAGTAAGAGGGAGGAGAGTTTGACGTGGAATCGGGGGAAGAATTATAATATGTAGAAATTGACGAACGGGAGGTCGTGGATTGACGTGGAGTTGATATAGAGTTCCTTAAAATATTCGAATTATGATTATGATGATGATATAAATAATTATTATTAGTAGTAGTAGTAGTAGCACTATTGGTTAAGGAATTTATCAACGAGTGATGAGCCGAGGAGTTTAATAAAGAGGTGGTGGACATTAAAGCGGTAGAAGTTGAATTAGAATTAACATTATTAGTAGCGGTATCATTATTAATTGAAGAAGGATAATAATGATAATAAGGTTCAATTTCAATTATAAAATCACCACATCTTTGATGTATTGTCGTTAACGTTGCACCTCCACCATTTGAAGCGTTCTGGGATGACATTGTAGCTATCGCCGTATAATTTGTCGTGGTCAACGTTCGACTCGGTAATTTTGGTAATTTATATATAGAACTATTATCTATTAATGAAGTATTATTGATATTATTCGGTATAGCGATGGGAGATGTGTTGGGTGATGAAATACCGAATGATGGAAGATAATTAAATAAATTGAATAAATTTGTTGAATTATAAATTGAATTGGTTGACGAAGAAGTGGAAGATGTTGAATGAATTGAATTCGTAGATGAATTATTAGGTGAAGAAAAAGTATAAATGTTATTGTTGTTATTATTATTAAGATGATTATTATTATTATTATTAATGGAATTAATGTTATTATTATTACACGTACTATCAATATTAATACTATTCGTCATGGTTTTTCTCGGGTTTACCGGTAATAAAGAATTTTCTAAATTTTTCTAACAAAGAAAAATGTGTATTTTTTTTAGTAAAAATAATATATTTGTTCTAGTAGAAACTATCTAATAATAATCAACGGGTCTTCATGTGGATAATTTTTTTTCTTCCTTTAAAATATATACTTTTGTTAACATAAGCCCTCGCTTCGTTTTTATGGGAGAAAAAGGAGAGTTTCACTAAATATAAATAATATAATAATATATACACAGCTCGCTTTAGCTCCGCTTTGGAATTTTTTTTATAAAAAAGGTAAAAAGTTTATTAAGATGATTATATCTTTTTATTTGAAATAAAAAGGAGTACAAAAAAATGTACAAATCACTTGTATTTATACGAATGAAATATTCGATTTGACAAAAATGTCTCGGTTGCTTTTTTTTCTACATATTTAATAAGGATTAAATGCACAATAAGTAATAAATTTGGTGCTACAAATAACTTTTTAATGTTTGGAAAGGATATTCTCATGCATGATACAGGTTTATTTAATTAATTATTGATTTAATGTATATTTAAAAATAGTGTTATTACTTTTAAAGTTATATCGGTTTTGTACATAACAGTGATAATAATAATACCTGTTTATAATAATTATATTTCTCAAAGAGGATTACCAAGCCCTTTGTTTTTTCCCAATTAATCTTCTAAGAATAATGTTTTATTTTATTTTATTTTTTAATAAAGAATCCCAAGATAAATGGAAGTGAATAAATGGAAGGAAGGTTAAAAAAAAAAATTTGTAATAATGGGATCATTCATCGAATGTTATGTGTTACTATATAGATCATTGCGTATCAACGGACGGAGGATTCATGAAAAAGGAAACCATCAATTAAAAAAAAAGCCATCCCTATCACACATTATTTTGGAAAGATAACAAGTCATTGTCTAATAAAGTAATGACACTCCCATGTATATGCGGTAGATTTTACATATTTTATCCGTTCGATAAAATCACTCCTTACTAAGATTTGTCGTACATGAAATACGAAAAGCTTGCAGGAAATTAACCGTCCATTTTATTACTTCACCAAATATAGTTTTTGCCGCCAAAGATTATCCATCACTTTATTGATTTTCAACTAATAAAAAAAACCCCCATTCGATAGCCAAATAATATTTTTCACGAATAATTAATTATGAGTTTTAATTTTCAAGATCATAATATTGGATGATTTTTGAACCTTATCTAATAAAATGAAATAATATTTCCAACTCCAAACGTTTGATGATTTTTTATTAATTAATAAATAAACAATAAATGATTGCTTTGTTTCCTTTGCTTTTTCATTAGAAAATTTATATAGATTTGACTTTGATTCGGGGAATTTTAAGTTCTGATTGCGACATTTTTAATTCTATATATTGAGTCTTTGCATGGTCAAAACACACATTTTTTGATTATATTTCTTGTATTACTTCAACTAACGATTGGTTAGATGCTCGATCCGAATGAATCGTTGAATTATCCATTGTTCTGTCAGGTAGAAACATTAGAAGTATTTGAGTCTGTAATTAATAAATCACATGGTGAACAGAAATGAGTAAATGAGGATTGTTTGTTGGAAATTCGTACGACTCTAACTGACAACAAATACTTGTTTACTACCAAATTTTGACACATACTGGTTTAATGTCCATTATAGAATCATGATAAAGTTTTAGATTTTCTTGTTCATTTACGTATTTATGACCTTTTAAGGTTCTATAGTGTGTTTCAAAATAAGAACGATGATTCTCTTCTTATTCTTGCATATCGTCATAATCTTCTTAAACAAAGAAATGCTTTTTAAAACAAAGAATCTACGAGATGCAAATGATGTTTCAAGATTTACTCGATAAAAAAAAAACTTGATCATCGACTAAACTTCATTTAGTATCTAAATGAAATGATAAAAAGTGATTATTTAAGGAACAAGACTTTTTAAAGAACAAGTTTACCAAAATAAACGCTTAATGATGCAGAAGTCTGCATAGCATACATTTTCACCTTTTTACCATAGAATCTTTTAGGTTTATTTATAGATAGATATCAATAATCCTAAAATTAAAAATGATTTACTAGTTTCCAATAATTTGTGGCATTGTTCAAAATTGTTGTGTCCCCATTTTCTTTTTCATGCAAGCAAAAAATTACCTTTTTTGGGTTAGAGCATTTTATTATTATCATTTCAAAAAAAAAAATTTATGAAACGACCCAGTCAAAAGCTTTGTCATACATGATTGTTTACAAATAACGAATGTAGTTTTTCCAAAGCGTTATCTAACGTGAAAATTTCTCATCGCATCATCATAATGGAATGCACGGAGAATTAAAGAATTCTCTGTTTTTGGGATGTGGATGATGAACCTAATATTATATTGTGTATATGTAGTTGGTCCAATGGGTTAAATAAAGTTGGTTACATGGCGTTTACAGTGAAAAAAAGGCCTGTTTAATCTGCAAAGATTAAGTACCCTCAGAATTACATGATATTCAAAAATATTTTAAAAGGAAATCCTTCTCACATGTCCTTTGATTTACACACACATTATGTGTTATAGTCATTTTATTCAGAAAACTTCTCATTTGTATGTCTAACCCATGAATGAATTTTATAATCTTCTTTCGGATTCATTCATGATCCATTGTATAATAACCAACTACAAAAAAAAATTTTAAAACGTGAAATGCAGAAAATCCTGAATTCAAACAGGTTAATTTTTATTAAGTGCAGATTTAATCAATGCGTCATATAAACTGTAATACCCCATTATTCCAATTTAAAAAACATGAAATTCTTAAAGCAGAACTCCTGAAATTCTATTTTTCAAAAAAAAATTATTTTAATGAACTTGATCGTCTTAAAGTTTGAAGTTTGACGACAAGACATTAGTTCTTTCGGGCCCCTAACCCAACAGTTTCAGTTCAAGATATTTAATGTTCTTGATTCAGCCATTAAATTTGGCGTTAAGCCATGCATTAACTCGTCGCAAAATAGCCTGGAAGATAAATATTAATTATCATTATACAATAATAAGATTTTTGATCCCTTAAATATTATAATTGTTCATAAAAAGTACTTAAAGTTTAAAAATGATACTTTATAGTAAGTTAAAAATATAACTTATTTATAGATATACAGCTTTCTATTTTTATAAGCTATATAAAAGAACGATTAAATATTCAATGCACTCAAATATTGATTATTAAATTAGCAGTGATGGGTTTTATATATATATATATACTGTATATATATATATATTTAATTTTAAATATTTTAGACATGATTTTAGACATGAAATAATATGAAATCTATTCAAAACAATCTAAATTATCAAATTGCCTATTCTAAGCTAAACTAATTAATAAATAATATAAAAATAAATTATAACTAAAACTTTAAATAAAAAATAAATAAATTAAAAAATTATAGTTAAAATTATAATATAAATAAAACATTCCAATTAGATTTAATATATATAATATATATGTATAGTAAATGTATTAATTACAATATAATTAGTTTTAAGATATTATTTTAAAATTTTTTTATATAATAAACTTAATAAACTGAGTAAAAAGAAATAAAACATGAAAATTTATAAATAATTTTAAAAGTGCAATATATGAAATAGTATCTATATTACTTAGATTATATGATTTCACAGGCAAATTTGCCTGCTTATTAATTAACTAAATACTCTTCTGATTTACTTTTATATTATTAATAATTAATGTTTTTAAAAAAAATTTTTTTTTTTTTTTAAATTAATTTTATAAATATGTAATATATTATAACAAGTTTATTTTTTAATTATAAATAAAAATTTAATGTTACTTAGAAGCTAAAAATTTGTAATTTTTAAAAAAAAATTATATTAAAAAATTTCATGATTAATCTATGATAAACTTTCTATAATTATTAATCATAATAGAATATTATAAAATTACTTCTTTTATTATTATAATTTTTATCTCCTAAATCTACTGAAAATGAATCAGTAAGTAAATCATTTCAGGTTTAAGATAAATGATTCCCAAAATTTTAATTTATTTAAAATCATTCCCTTTTGTTATTTTTTACATATTCTTCAAATTTAGAATGAGCACATTATTGTTTTTTTGCTATACTTGCTAGCCAATAATTTTAAAAATCTTTTTAAAAAAAATTTGTAGCGAATGACATGAATAACTTTTAAAAAATAAAGTTAGATGAAAACGTTTAAAAGAAAACCTAATTGGAACCTATAATATTTAGTTATTAATATGCTATACATGATATTGATAAATTATTGATAAAATTCAAATTTTAACATACTATACTTTCTAAATTATTTACCTTATGATCAAAACTATTTTTAATCAATAAGTTCTCTATAAAAAATTAAAATAACAGTATTATTACTATAGTTTATGTAGTTTATGTAGTTTATGTTTTATTAAAATTTTTAACATGCTTATAACTTCTGAATTATTTACCCAATAGTTAAATTATTTTGTAAATGTTAAAAAAGAAATCGAAGAACTTAAATTTTAAATTTAGCTAATTAAAAATGCATATCCTTATGTCAATCATTATGTAATTCAAATTAA